ATTCGGGTCCGCTGCCATTCTGGTGTTTTGATTTCAGCAAAATACCCTTACTTTGAAGATGAGGAGGCCGGCTGCGACTCTCATTGGACTTGGTCTGCCCAGCGTTCGGTCAGAGCATGTCTGTGCTACAGACAACGGAACTCTGAGGCAAGGGCGTTCAAACAAGAAATCGCAGTTGGTAACCTCGACACTTCCTGGCACAGCATTGGTACCCAAGTCCCTAAGCCGAACCACTGAACCCAAACTATGTCCTAAACATCGGAGAGACGATCCTTCACTCATCTGCCGGCTCCAACTCAGCGCTGGCCCATGTCGCCTGCGACGCGCATCACGAGGGTTATCATAAGAGCTATGTACTATGTAGTAATACGAGTAATAATACTAACAGCACTACTAATAACAATACAAATAAGCAGAAACATACTATAATTAGTAATAACGCTAGCAATAAAATCCTAATAATGTTGTTCTGTTGCCCCCTGTATGGCTGACAATGATAATATTAATGACAATAAAAATAATGCTAGGGTTATTGCAACTGTAAGGCTTACTGTACATGCCTATAATCTTTTGCTAAAATGAGGGTCCTTGTGAACAGAAGGATTTCTGTAAGGTTTTCTTTCAAGGATACTGTTTATTGGAAGGGTTTAGAGGCTATGCCTAAAGGGTTTCCAGAAACTACAATCACGAGAATTACAAGTTCGGATCCTTAAACTTGGGCATGCTCTGTGGAATTCAGCACTCAAGCTCAGGCAAGGGGAAGCCCAAAAGTTTCTCTGCGTTCAGTCTTTGCTTTCGGGTTTCAGGTTTCGAGTCTCCAGGACTAACCATAGGCCCTAACTTCAACAAGAATGAATAGTAGTCTGTCTTGTGAATGTTCATTGGCGAAACGACCATCCAACGCTTGGGTTCATATGCGATTATGCGGCATGCCCGTGCGCAAATGTTCCGGCAAAACAGACAAGTTGACACCGCTTCGTGGGCACAGAATTGGCACCTCGGTTTCATTGGCTGGCGGTGATGAAATCAAGCTTGCAATGCTTGCGCTGTAAATTGGCGGGCTACTGGGTCTGGTAATTTTTAGCACTCGCGCTCGAACAAGTCAGGCCTATTAGCGAAGGTCTATTGTTCCGGAACCATTGAGGGGAGCTGCAATCTGAAACATCAGCAGCAAAAGGCCTTGCTCGCACTTTCCATTTCAGCTGCCGCTGCTGACTCAACGCAGTTAGCGATGTCAAAGCGGGCTCTCCGACTCCTCCGAATGGCATGCGGGGGTTCCGAAAAGAGCGGATGCTAATATCGTACCCTAGATAGTAGTAGGATCCTTATTATAAGGACCCCAAAAGAATGGTACCCGTTGGGAAACTCCCGTGTCAGCAACTTGATGCTGGGTAGCCGGACGCATCTAGAACGAGATTGGGAGACTTTAATCGATATGGGTACAATTTGGTCTGACCCTGTACGCATTGAAAACAGTTTAGCATGCTGCTACGTGCGATGATGCTTGTAATCTCGTGCCAATGATGCGGTGATGGTCAACTTAACCCGCAACGCCGGCTAGTGCAACGACAAGCCTGCTTTATAATTTCAGGTGCGACAGGTCGTGCCGCCGTGCTACCCAATCGACGACGCTTAAACTTGCAGACGGAAGACTCGCGACTGTCCAACTAAATTCTAAATGGAGGTTCAATTATGGATTGCTTCGTAACTTGTCTCCGAGCTATCACAGCAGCTGTCCTTGAACAGCCCCGCTTGTGGGCTCAAACTGTGCGCAAGCGTTACATGCTCTGTGGACCAAGCCCATTGTTGTTTGCAGAACACCGCGATTGGGAGAGGGCGCAGGTGAAATGCAGTTCATGCAAACGTTTCTTGTAAACCTTACTTCTTCAAGCGGCCTGTGTTCGACCCCAAGTAGTAGGATTGCTGGACACCTTTTCTGTCGAGGCTGCTGCCAGAGAGGAGTAGGAAGGCAGCGAACCAGACAATCCAACATCCCAAAACGGCCAAACACCTTGACCGCATGACCTCAACTGAAATCATCACGTTTTCACACCAACTGTACTGCTCGCGAGAACCTCACGGTTCTATGGGTTGGAAAAACGGCTGACACACCAAAGCAGAGAAACACCGAGCAGGCAGTTCTCGCTGCTGCTGCTGCAAACGAGTTCGTCCTTCCGTTGAAGTCTTTCCAGTCAGGGCTGTTGACGTATAGGTCCGTTTCTCCTGGCGGGTTGGCTTTGCAATGCAGAAGTGATTCAGAATTCCAGGCAATAAATTGCAATAAAATATGCGTCCAGGGATCTGGGGTCACTTGACAATCCTAAAACCTCAACCCAATCCCCAAAGCCAACCTAAAACCCAAGCTCCAAATCCACGCCCAAACACCAAACCCAAAACCCAACCTAAACCTCATCCCCAAAGCCCAGGCGCCAGACCCTCAACCCAGACCCTGTCCCAAACCACAAACCCACTGCCAAAACCCAACCTAAATCCCAAACCCCAATCCCGCACCCCACACCCTAAGTCCCCAAACCTTAGCCTCTCTCTCTCCCAGGCACCCAAACCTTCACCTAAAACCCAAATCTAGAACCACAGCCCTAAACCCTGCAGACCCTAAACCCGAAACCCCTGCCTCGAGCTCCACAACTTTCCGGCCGCCGTAGTCGGGCCGTGTTCTGGGTGGCGCCTCACTCGCCGGTGGCTTGGGCTCCTGGTGCGCTCAGTTATAAGTTTCAAGTTTTTTTTTTTAAAGACGCCCCTTTTCCGTCTGACAAGTTTCATGGTTTAGGGTTTAAGGATTTAGGGTTTATAAGGGCTTACAGGGACGTTTTTCTCCTAACCCTCCAAGCCGACAAATGTCGCACCGCAGGTAAATTCGTCCGTATCGAAGACCGAGGGATGCGAGTCCAGGAGGCGAGGTTCCGATGAAAGCAAGAACGACACACGCCGAAAGGGTTAAGGGTGTGTTCTAGGTTTCGATTCGCATAGGGCCTTGCTCATAGGGCCTTGGAGCTGGACTTTGCTACACTTCTCAGATCTGTGCATCTGGGTTTTTAAGTTTTGGGGTCGGAGCCAGGTGAGATGATTGGACTGGAAAATGCAGTAGTTCTGCTGTATTTGCTATTGTTGCTACTGACATGGCTCACACATGTCTCATGGTCCCTGTTGTTTGTGGCTAACCTCTGCCGGGTGCAGTGGTTGTTGGTCTAGGCGCCCGAAGCGTGTCTTGCAGCTGTTTCGGATGTTTCAATGCCAAGATAGGTACCTCCAGTTTCCAATATGTCGCTTACGCCACTGCAGCATTAGTCTGGTAACAAGTGCACGGGGCTTCATGAAGTAAGCTTTCTCAACTAGGCGGCTGAACCCAGTCTTGTTGCTGCAGTATCGACGGCCATGGCAATGCCAGGACACAGACTACACCCTCAAGTCCTCCTTTGCATTCGTCATGGCTTGCTCTGCTCCTGCATCGTCACACGAGGAGTCGACAAGGGCAGAGGCGGAGAGGCTGGGCAAGGCGATCACGTGCGCGTTGCAAGTTTGTAAAGCCACGTACCCTAACTGTCACGAGCAATCCAAAATTCTACGTGCGCGAGATGTGCACATGGATGTTTGTACGTGCTCATGGAGGAAGCAGACTACACAGCTAGACTTACGTGTGCACACATACACATGTACGTACATAACACATCGGTATTATGTACATATATATATAAAGGTATGTATACGCACATGTGTGTGTGTGCCTTTACTGGTGTGAAAAACCTACCTATACCCTTGTTCTGTGAAGTACAGTATCCAACTTAACAGGCAGTTGGCATAATTCGTTAAGCTATCATACCTGCACAACAACCACATATATATATATATATATATATATAAATGAGTCATTCTGCGAGCATATATCTATATGTATGTGTGTCTAAGACATCTGTTCGTACCTCTGTATGCAGACCCACATATGTACAATCTCTATACACGTACATAGTTGTAATGAGTGTGAAGATGTATATATACATTTATATATGTATACATATGTCTTACAGAACAGCAGGAGAAAGAGAGAGAGAGAGAGAGAGAGAGAGAGAGAGAGGGAGAGAGAGAGAGAGAGAGAGAGAGAGAGAGATAGAGAGAGAGAGAGAGAGAGAGAGACAGAGCGTCAGACTATTTCTGGCTGGCATGTCTTGAACTTTTTTCCAGAAGTACTCAGGACTAAGCAAGTCCATGGCATGCATAGTGGAAGGAGTATGCCTGACGACAGGGTGATCTTTTACAAAGGGCAGTGTGAGAAAACATCGTAACATAGTGTACCAGTGTAGCTACAACAAGTCTCTAAACTGCGGTCCTCCCCGGCCGCTTGAAGGCACCACCCAACTAGCCCAAGCCGGGCCGCGACTCTACCAAACCCGCCCCCCTCTGAGTGAAAGGCTGCGCAAACAAAACAAATGCCCGCTCGGACGAAGAAGTGCAAACGTCGCACTACTGTCTTGCCACGGCGGAGTCGGGAATGCTTCAAGGATCAAATGCTGACCTGAGTTACTAAGTCACTCCCTAAAGCCTAAACCCTCCCGACCCTAAATCCCTGGATCCTACAAATGCGCAGTTTTGAAGCAGCAGGGTTGCGATTTCCGGGCCGCGACGTGCACCTACAGACAGCTGTTCCTTCAGGAAGCTGGCTAAACAATGAATTGGTGGCGATGCCAAAATCACAATTGTCGCAAATAGAAGAATACGATTAGTCGTAAGAAATATGAGAATGATATATAATAATAACACATGATACACGAAATACCGCTAATCACAGTCGTAATTTCTGAATATAGATTGTTGCTGTTATTGCGATTGTTAGTGGTAATATATTACCATCTTTTCAAATCACTTCGCCAAAGAATTGTCGCCCTTCTCGAACAGTGCTTGCTGCGAGGTGTGTCAATGTTTGACACAGCCTGCTCGAACACATGTAGCCGTATATAGGCCCTGATACATGCAAGATCGAAGACCCATCATGGCGCCATAGGGACTTGTCCAGCACTTTCCGCATTTTCAGGTGCTGGCTGATGCAACGATGCTGATTCTGGCTTTGACAGCCGGACCGCCCCACTCTGCAAGTTATAGTCCTCAATGGCCTGGCACGTGCACTAGGCAACAGTGCCTCATGTGAAACATGCAACGCAGCACAACAGGCCTGAAGGCACATCAAAGCGAAGGACCGTGCCTCCTGTCACACTTCGCCCATGTTGACAATAATCTCTACTGCGTTGAGCTGCTCATGTGTGTCATGTCTGCTGGGGTTCAATCGCGAGAACTACCTTCGCGATCTTGCTTCTAAACAATTCCAAGGCAGCAATTCGCAAGTAGTCCTCGGCGGAAGAAATGCGGGCCACCAAATCGGCCGGCGTTTCTGCTTCCTCGTCGCGGTGGCCAGGCACACCCGCAACTAAGAAGCGTGACTCGGCAGACTAACCAAACACATCAAGCCAGCCTCTTCAGTTGTTTGGCCCGTCAGCTCTGCAAGATCTGCTCTGGCTCGGTCGGCCTGTGCAAAAATTCATCCTGCAACTTAAACCGCTCAGGCTGGGACCGCACAAATTTAGCATGAACCAGATTTCGCTGCCTCAAAAGCTCTATAAGCTCTCTGGTGTAATATGCTTGAAGTGCAACTAGCGGGTTTCGCATGCTGCCATGTCGGTTTCAAGTCTCTTTGCTACCACTCAAGGCTGCTACTGCATTGAAGACTTGCCGCACAACGATGGCAGCCCACCTGGACGAGGCACATGTGACAAAAGGCCCGAGCTTCCTGAGCTGTCGTGATTCAGACGTGTGTGTTGTCAATTAACATATTGGATGGAATGCTGCATGCATATGCATGCATCAAGGATCGGGAAGCGAACAACCGGCGTCGATGCGCGACGTTTCTTCAGGGCATACTTCTGTCCAACTTGTAACCGACTCCAGGGGCATGTCTGGAATAGCCTTGCAGAGCTCATCGATGCTGTCTGAAGGAGGGCTCTGCAAACTCAGGCTGCTGGGGTGAACTGGGGCAAGATCTGCTTCTTCGATTTGGCCTGTTGCCACGCTGCGGGTTGCAGGGCAGCTCAGGTGCAGGGTGTCCATCTGGTGCTTCAAAAGTTCCGCGTCCCATTCTCTACAGCCAACCCATGTCGCATCTGAACTAGTCGAGGTTGGAGATAACGGGACAGTGAAGTCCGCGGAACCATCTGAATCCGAGCACAACTGGCTGATCACCAACTCCCTGCGGATTCGCTCGAACCTGGCAACCAGTCGGGAGGCATGTAGTGATAAGAATGGGTGTTTGCAGGTTGATATTGGGCGCTGATGTGTTGTTCAATGTTTGTGATGTACATGCCGTGGGTAGCCCCCGTTAATGCCTTGGCGTCGTCGATGGTGCATTTCGGCCAAACTTTGGTCTCGGAGCCGTTGTGGTCTCCGAACGAAATTTCCGAGCACCATCCTGCATGTCTCATGTTCACAAGTTGTTTAATACTACATCAATGCATAAGAATCGAACCGAAGAACACTCATCTTTGCACGACTGTTACACCCATCGAGACGCCCGGTGGCGTCGCAAATATGAAGGTGGCGCCGGCTTTGTGCTAGCCTCTTGCCGGCCTCGGCCTTGTTCAAGCCTCGGCACTGTCGCACTTGACAAAAGTCGAGGGTTTACGGATAACGGCCTGATAGGGGTCTAGGAATGTTTGGGGCGTAAAGTACCATCAACATGTTACATGTTCGCATGATTGTGCACAAGGTAGCGGCTGCACTTTCGGCCCACCCACAAAGCACCTCCGAGTAGGCACCTCGGGAAGGTAAGAAGCCGACACTGACACGAGTCTCTTGGCTGCCTGTGCTTGACGGTAGACCTGCCGAGGTCATTTTCAGATTGAAAGCTGAAGCCAACCAAAAACCTTTGCACAGGACTCAGCAACTTGTGTAGATTCAATGCACCCTGGGTTTACAGTCAACTTCGGTCAACCTTATCATCGGAACACTGGCGCTATGTCGCAACATGTCACGAGCTTTCCCTACTGGATCTTCCCGGGAGCCCGCTGATGGCCGAACCTCCACCGTCAGGATCATTGGCGCTCAACGAAAAACTTCGCAATCATACTATCTCTTTGCGGCTACTGCTGGGTGGGACAACCCGCCATCCTCGCCGACATGTCCAACCACGACCGGAACTAAACCCATGCAAGCCTCTTCGGCTGCTTTGGCTCGAACTTGCTGACGGTCCTGCCAGGATGCAACAGGACACGTGACAGCAAACGTTCTGTCGTCGCACACTCGCTGAACCTCGTCACAGTGTTGCTGCACGCCACTGGCCATGGAATTGAAATCTATAGGCCATGGCACAAACTCGAATGAGCCAACGTTGGCAGCAAATCCTTCATCGAAGGCTTGGGAATCGGGGTTGTTTCGGGAGTATAATGGATCACGGGGTTCCCGCCGCGTGTATCCTTGCCGGAAACGACTACTTGCGCAGCATGAGACTGGCTTTTGAAAGCAACAGGAACTGATGACAGCACTTTATCTCAATTCCGAGCCGCGGCTCATCCCGTCAGCATGCAAAGCAGCATTCTGGAAAGTGGAAACCGTTTTTGACAAGCGGACCGTTAAGCCGACGTCCCAATAAGCGCGACCCCGCAAAAGTCAGGGCGTCCCAAGGCCAATGCGACATTCTACGGCAAGTAAGCCGTGCGCAAAGCACGTTCACAATCGTTCACAACACGGTCCACCGGACCATAGAAACACTATAGAAACCGATACGCCGGCAGCGCGTGAAGGTGGCGGTGCAAACCACGTCCGGCAACATCGGATCCATTAGCGGTTCTTAGCGGTCACTAGCGATCACCTCAATCCGTGTCGGTCGTCTTGGCGAACTGGCTCGACATTAGGGTTTCTGCTCACCTTCTTTGCAGCACGCTGCAATATGCTGCGCACACAAGCAGCAGAACGCTCGAGAAGGCCGCCCCTCGCCCGCAAAACGCCGGAGCTCGGGCAGGCGGCAAGGTGGCGCCACAGGGATCGTGGTGTGCGCAGTAACGGCAAGGGTCCGTGGCCAAAGGGCACGCGAAGTCTGCGCAACAGGATGGTTCGGAAGAGCGGTGATTCCACTGAGAAATTTATGAAAACTCGGACGGGGTGGGACCCAGTCTGCGAGTCCAACAAGGCGGCCGAAGCGGTCTCACGAAGGAAAGCCTCATGTCAAAAATCGTCAACTGCTTCGGATGGGCATGGATAGGCGTTGCCACCCACGGGTGGGTGAACCGTCGTGATTTGGCACCTCAGCATGCACATGCATGCAGCAACTCCGCCCAGGCAAATGCTGGAACTCGACGAATTTCTGACTGCAAAATTTTGCAAAAACATGCCACAAGAAATGCTCACTGCTAACAGCAACGCCGCGCTCTGTCCAGGGAAGTTCTTGCCCACAAATCCGTCTCGGCGAGTCAAGGGAGGGAAACGCACATGTGGGCGGATGCTGGCGAAGTCTCATACCTTTGGCTTCGCAGCCTTGAAGCGGACATTAAATTTAATTAAAGGACCGGATAACCCCACATGACAGCGATACTCTGGTCAGCATCAAAGCAGTGCAAAACAGGGTGATTTAGATATGTAAATATGCGTGCGCACTCCGCGTGGGTGTCCCCGCCGCCGGTTGTGTGTGTTGTGCGTGCGCGTGTGCGTGTACGTGGGCGTGTGGGTGTGGGTGTGTTGTGAGCTGTGTGGTGTGTGGTGTGTGTGTGTGTTGTGTGGTTGTGTGTTGTGTGTTGTGTGTTGTGTGTTGTGTTGTGTGTTGTGTGTTGTGTGTTGTGTGTTGTGTGTTGTGTGTGTTGTGTGTGTGTGTGTTGTGTGTGTGTTGTGTGTCGTCTGTGTTGTGTGTGTGTGTGTTGCGTGTCGTCTGTGTTGCGTGTGTGTGTGTCTGTGTTGGGTGTTGGGTGTTGTGTGTTGTGTGTTGTGTGTTTGTGTGTTTGTGTGTTGTGTGTTGTGTGTGTTGTGTGTGTGTGTGTGTTGTGTGTCGTCTGTGTTGCGTGTGTGTGTGTGTTGTGTGTGTTGTGTGTTGTGTGTTGCGTGTTGCGTGTTGTGTGTTGTGTGTTGTGTGTTGTGTGTCTGTTGTGTGTCTGTTGTGTGTCTGTTGTGTGTCTGTTGTGTGTCTGTTCTGTGTTGCGTGTGTTGCGTCTGTGTGCGTGTGTTGCGTCTGTGTGTGTGTGTGTGCGTGTGTGTGTGTGTGTGTGTGTGTCTGTGTGTCTGTGTGTCTGTGTGTCTGTGTGTCTGTGTGTCTGTGTGTCTGTGTGTCTGTGTGTCTGTGTGTCTGTGTGGCTGTGTGTCTGTGTGTCTGTGTGTCTGTGTGTCTGTGTGTCTGTGTGTCTGTGTGTCTGTGTGTCTGTGTGTCTGTGTGTCTGTGTGTCTGTGTGTCTGTGTGTCTGTGTGTCTGTGTGTCTGTGTGTCTGTGTGTCTGTGTGCGTGTCTGTCTGTCTCTGTCTCTGTCTCTGTCTCTGTCTGTCTCTGTCTGTCTCTGTCTGTCTCTGTCTGTCTCTGTGTCTGTCTCTGTGTCTGTCTCTGTGTCTGTCTCTGTGTCTGTCTCTGTGTCTGTCTCTGTCTGTCTCTGTCTGTCTCTGTCTGTCTCTGTCTGTCTCTGTCTGTCTCTGTCTGTCTCTGTCTGTCTCTGTCTGTCTCTGTCTGTCTCTGTCTGTCTCTGTCTGTCTCTGTCTGTCTCTGTTTGTCTCTGTCTGTCTCTGTCTGTCTCTGTCTGTCTGTCCGTCTGTCTCTGTGTGTGTGTGTGTGTGGGTGTGTGGGGGTGCGTGCGCGTGTCTGTCTGTGTGTGTGTGTGTGTGTCTGTGTGTGTGTGTGTGTGTGTGTCTGTGTGTGTGTCGGTGTCTGTCTGTGCGTGTGTGTGTCTGTGTGTGTGTGTGTGTGTGTGTGCGTGGGTGTGGGTGTGTCGGTGTGTGTGTGTGTGTGCGTGGGTGTGGGGGTGGGTGTGTGTGTGTGTGTGTGTGTGTGTGTGTGTGTGTGTGTGTGTGTGTGTGTGTGTGTGTGTGTGTGTGTGTGGGTGGGTGGGTGGGTGGGTGTGCGTGTGCGTGGGCGTGGGTGTGGGTGTGGGTGTGTGTGTGTGTGGGTGTGGGTGTGTGTGTGTGTTGGGTTTGCATAAACACCCCGCGTGGTCGATTTATGTAAGCACTTGCCCGCGGTGTTCGCGATGATGCGTTTGACTTGTAAAACGATAAGGAGGAAAAAAAACGATAACGTCATTTTGCACAACAAGCGACCACAATCCAGCCAGGAGCCGAAACGAGGCATTTCCAGTACTAAAGTTGTACTACAAGCGAGCACAATCCAGCCAGGAGCCGAAACGAGGCAAATCCAGTACTAAAGTTGTACTACAAGCGAGCACAATCCCCCGAGCCAGGAGAGTTGTACTACAAGCGAGCACAATCCAGCCAGGAGCCGAAACGAGGCATTTCCAGTACTAAAGTTGTACTACAAACGAGCACAATCCAGCCAGGAGCCGTAACGAGGCATTTCCAGTATTAAAGTTGTACTACAAGCGAGCACAATCCAGCCAGGAGCCGAAACGAGGCATTTCCAGTACTAAAGTTGTACTACAAGCGAGAAAATCCAGCCAGGAGCCGATACGAGGCATTTCTCAGTAATAAAAGTTGTACTACAAGAAGCACAATTCCAGCAGGAGCCGAACGAGGCAAAATCAAGTACTAAGTTGTTACACAAGACGAGCACAATCCAGCCAGGGAGCCGAAAACGAGGCATTCCGTTACTTAAAGTGGTTACAGAGAGCACAATTCCAGCAGGATGCGAAAACGAGGAATTTCCAGTACTAAACTTGGAACGAAAAGAGAGCACAATCCAGCCAGGAGCCGAAACGAGGCATTTCCAGTACTAAAGTTGTAGTACAAGAGAGCACAATCCAGCCAGGAGCCGAAAGGAGGCATTTCCAGTACTAAAGTCGTACTACAAGAGAGCACAACCCAGCCTTGAGCCGAAACGAGGCATTTCCAGTACTAAAGTTGTACTACAAGCGAGCACAATCCAGCCAGGAGCCGAAACGAGGCATTTCCAGTACTAAAGTTGTACTACAA